TTTTTATGTGCATTAATGGCTTTATCAACTATAATTTTTACTTCAATGCAATAGATGAAATTAAGATATGAGTGAATTGTTTCTTGCATTAAGGATGAATAGAAGATACTAGAACAAAAACACCTTTTAGCAGTTCTGGATACACTTAAGGGACTTGAGAGGCTTCAACCAAAAAATTAAGAAATAAATTTTTAATGACCCTTCCTCAGTTTAACAAATCCTAGAGAAGTAAGAAGAATTTTTGAAAATCCTTTAATTTGCGATGAATCGCTCCACAAATAATTTAGTGAGCTCATCAAATGTATGGGGTAAATAAAGTTAAGTATGTGCTTGGTATTTGAGAGCAGTGGGGAAAAGCTCAAAGAAGCTTGTCAGAACCTTATTGTCTATGCATAATGGTTCTATAATGATCAATGTGTTCATATGGTTTATACGTCCCATCACAAAGAATTAAGGATTGAAAGCTTGAACTTTGTTGGGATAGGTCATTGAAGGACAATTTGAACCAAAAGAGAAGTCTGAAGAGAACTACGTTGAGCAGATAAATAACTTCTATCCCTTATAGGGATATCTTCTTACACTAGACATCATAACTCATCACCGATTACATGAGGTCGAGCTGAATTCTCCACACATGTTGGAGGTTTGTTGTTAGGATTGGCTACACGAGATGGATGTGTAGAGCTTGCAATGTCCAGGAGTTTGCTTCCTGAGAAGGAACTTCAATGTGTGAAGGGGGTGCTAATTGCGTACCTCTAATTAATAAATTTGAGGTAACTACACACCACCAATTTACAGTGTCATCGCCTACCAAGCCTCATATAAACGTTATAGAATTTCATTTTGAAATTCTTTCATTCTTCGTACACAATAATCAAGCAAGGGATTTTTTTTTGTTGGGTGATATATATCAACGAAAATTGAAGCAGAGGCTTGATATCTCAGACTTTGACACTACACTTTGGAATGGTGAGTTTTATAATGAAAAGCTCGTGCATTGCATTTATTAGCTATTGAAGAAATTTAAACTTCTACAAATTAAACTTTGTTCCCCATAGAAAACGTCGAATTGTTGCGCGACAGAAAATTAAAAACGAAGAAAATTAACAACGATAGAGTGATAATTTATCATCTTAGCATTGTATGAAAATTCAACACACACACACATAGATAAGAAAATATAGCGAAGGGAGAAGCCAAAATTTTTTAAGTAGAAAAACCATGAAAGGCTTCGGAGGTCAATGGCGATAAGTAGCGACGGTGGGCGGTGGGGTTGACTGGTGACTATGGAAGTTGTCCAAATTAAAATATGTTGAGAATTTCATATCTATTTTATACTGTTTTTGATGATATTACACCTTAAAGAAATGTATTTTGATGTTTTGTTACAAGAATGATGAATTAGGGTCATTGGAGCAAAGAGATGAAAAAAGGAGCGACTTTGGAGCGAAAATGACCAAAATGTGAAGATTTGAACTAGGGCGCCGACAGTGAGCCCAACGGCGCCCACGACGGACTTTTCCCGAGACTCCAGAATTAATTCACTTAGAAGGCCAGCCGACGGCTCCCTCGAGGCCACCGACGACTAGCTTGGCGGTTATGCCCAATTAGGACTATGCATTGGATGAGGACGAATTTTGGAGGGATGCTTAGGCAACTCTTGGGAAAACTCATCAACATCTTTAAAGAGAAGATTTTAGTCGAAAATAGAAAGGGGAGGCTCAAATTTGAAGTGTGAAAAAGTGTAGAGAGTCTAAATTGTGAGGAATTCTTCGAGAGATTGTAAGAGTTGGAGGGAACGTGAGAGATTTCTTTCTCCTTGCCGCTTCGAAGAGGAATTCTGTGTGCTGCAAAAAGGAAGGGATTAAGAGAAACTTTGAGGAGTTTTCTTGGGGAGAAATTAAAGATAAGTTTATTTATTATTGTAGTTTGTATGACTTTGATTTTATATATGAATTTCGAGTTTTGTTGTGTTTTTCCCATGAGATCTGAGTAGTTTTCTGTCTTTCTCCTTGTCTTGAGATTTGTGAAATGGTGATTTGATTTGATTGAGCAACGAAAATGTTAAAGAAATTGTGATGATCTTTTCACTTCGATCTTAATTTACTTTCAATCTGACCAATTGATTTGTTAAAATATGTTGAGTTTTACAACTAAAGTGAAGATTACATCTAAGATTCAGGGAGGTTAAAACCCTTGAAAGTTGGGTGCAAATAAATTAGAAAATAAAATTACGGGGCGTAGAATTGGAGATTTTAGAGTGAGACTAAAATTCCCAATTCAGTCCTATCGTTTGGATGTTGAAGTGTAGATGTTAGCCCTCAGGTGAGGGGAATGTGGGAGCTCCGAAGTGAGATCCGGTATCCTCTCAGCCTAGTCGCAGATTCAGTAAACAAGCGTACGATTAGTTAATGTTTTTTATGTCTGGACCAAAGGGTAAAGAATAAGTATGCTCCTATTTGACACAATACAATTGAACTGATTCACTTTATCCATTCACTATAATTTCTTGACAAGGAGAAGGATGTTTTCTTATATATTGAATATTACATTAGAACCTTCATTAGTATAATTAGTTATTTAATAGTTATTAAAATTACATATTTATTTCAATTGCCTATTAGTGACAGTTAAACAAATTGAATTTCATTGTTGCGATTAAAGTATTGATTTTCTAAATTCTTAGTTCGTAGTTCTAATATTACTCCCTGTGGGATCGATATCTAGGACTCCATTAGAGTCCTATATTATTTGAGCGATACGTATACTTGCATTGATAAGTGTGATTTTACAATTATTGAATATTTTATACATACATCTTTATCGAATCTATAACTGTTATTAAGTTTTTGGTGCAGTTGCTGAGGAATTAAATCTTTTAGCAGCAGTATTAAATACTTATATTTTTAACCATATATAAAGTCGTTGTCAGAAGTCGATGGTTACTTGATGAGTCTTCTCTTCAAAACAGACTAAGGATTTCACTTCCTCTTCTTCTTTTCCCCTTCTAAGTGAAAAGAGGGATCTATTTATAGTTTTTTTGTGAAGGGGTATTTTTGGGCATTTGGTGTAGCTTCCCTAACCACCTGAATGAACGATCCATATTGATCTCAATTGATTATATCTATTTTTTTAGCAATTTGTTAGTCTTAATGATATCAGAATTGAGCGATCACAGGCTCACTGAATTCTTCTTACTGAGATGCTTGATTCAACCATAAATATGTCAAATTTGGAGTTCATTTGTCCACTCAATTGACAATTCAAAGCCTCCAATTTTGCTTCAACGACTTGATCTAGTCTTGATTGGACTTGAATTGACTTTATCATAAAATTTTTGGGATCATCTTGCTGAGACGCTCAGTTTGAATACAAATTTGATGACATCGGCGCTTGGATGATCATGAATTTAAATTTGGAAGATTACTTGTAATCAAGATTCGTGCTTGATCATAGAATTTTGTTGGTAACACGTCAATAATTATAAGCATGCCACTCAATTCTTCACTTAAAAAGTAATATCATGACCATCTTCTTAAAAGTGAAATACATATGACGACAAGTTTATGACAACAATATAATATATATGTAAATATCAAAACTTGGGCGTTAGATATATAAATACATAAGAATTGTGTGGTATGTGTAAAATTCCCATATAATAAATGAGTTAACTTTTAATTTATTATATTTGCATGTTAGTCTTATGTTGGTACTCAAGCCTCTAGCCTAGAGATCATTGATTCAAATAATAACATATAGATTCAACTAATAACATATTCAGAGTATAATTCTTCAACAACTTATCATATCTTTCTTTTTTAATTTTGTTTTAAATACATTAAATTATAAAAAAAATAGTTACTAAAATTTGCAAATATGAAAAATTGGGTCAAGATATCAATGATGATAGTCTTAAAACAGTGGATTTATTTTGAGATGTGGCCCTCATATAAATTCTATTGATTAATAATATATTATTCTCACAATAAAATAAGTACAATAGCATTAACTTATAATGATCAAAATTTAATCTTGATATTCAAACCCAATTTTTTTTCTTAAGAGATATTCCTCTTGAATGTATCTCAGAAGTTCTTGCAAAATTCTTAGAAATAGAAATATGAAAAATTACATAATACCTGTTTAATTCCTATATTTATACACCTAACACCTAAATATTAATTTTTACACGTCGTTCTATTTAGGGCTGTCAAAACAGCTCGTTGTTCGCAAAAAGCTCGTGTTCGGCTCGTTCGCTAAGTTAACGAGCCGAACACGAACAAATATTTGTTCATTCAAGTTCCGCTCGTTTTGGCTCGAAATACTACTAATCAATTATATTGTATCTTTGATGGGTAGTATTTTAAAAAACTTTAGTTGACTACAAAGCTACAAAGATTTATAATCAATTAAAAGTATTAATAAATAAAATTAAATAAAAATTATTAAATTAGATTTAAATGATGTCTTAAATCTTGTCTCAATCCTTAACATCTTATGACTACGTGATTAGGTTTGTCAAAACGACATTTGTTTGTGAATGACTCGTATTCGGCTAGCTAAGCAAACGAGCTGAACACAAACACACTTTTGAGCTCGAAATATGATCGAGTCAAACACGAGCTGAACCTGGGCTGCTCGTGTTCGGCTCGTTTACACCCCTAGTTCTATTTATATATGAATAGGATGTATTTAATGCTTGAAAGATTAAAATAGTGATATTCGTTATGAGATATTAAAAATCTAGATAGTATAATTGTAAAAGGGTAAAATTTAGATTTAAATATATTAATTTTTCTTCTTTTTAATTAGAACTACCGGCATAACACAATGGTATTTACAGAATTTTTATAAATAAAAAAAATAAGAACGAAAATTTTAAATTTATTTTGAGATGAAAAAAATATTAAAAGTTAATGAATTTTTACATTTAACATATTTTAATGCAAACGAAACCAATTTAATTTCTGATAAAAAATATATATGTACTTGGAAAATCACGCCATACCTTCAAGCGGAGTATTGAAAGGTTGCGCCGGCCCTGCTGCAACAAATGAGCTCTCCGGCGAGATCGTCGGCTTCGGGAGCGAGCGCCGGGCAAATTGGCGGTGCTTCCAGATCGTCGGCTTCGAGAGCGAGCGCCGGGCAAATTGGCGGTGCTTCCAGCAGTAGTAACGCTGGATTAATTGATGATTCTGTTTACCATTTTCCTACCGATCTCATCTCTGTTCATGACCGAAAGGAGGCGGCCTTAACTGGTAAACATTCAAGCCCCATTCAATTCCAATCGTTCTTTTTTTGTAGCCCTAGGGTTTCTTAAAAGCCTTCAGTTGATTCTTTTGATTTTAATTTTACCGGGCTTCTTCTTCTGATAATATTCTATTCTTCGTTTGAACGCTCATTGCTAAGTCTTGAGGTCGGATCTGATGGCATCGCTCCAGAAGGAGGTGAAATCTCTGGACGAAGACGGTTGGATGTTTTCTGGTCCTCGCTCACAAATTCATCTCGTTCTAAGACCAGGTGCATTTTTCTTTTCTTTGAGTTTATTTATGGGGGCTTTGGTTCCCCTATGTTGTAACAGGCCAAACTCCGTCCTTTGAGATATTGTAGGCTTTGGCCTGATGGCCTCAAAATTTTGTCCCATTGGTGTAATTTTGTCAAGAGATCACCCATCGGAGGAGTGCTCCCACACAGCAAATTTTGTAGTTTTTGATGAAATAACAACCATTACACCAAAAGGCACTTCAATTCTTAAAAGTTTAGCTTCATTCTACTTAAGGGGTTTTACTATTTCCACTTCTTAAAGTAACTGACATCCTTAACAATTTTCTTAACCCATAATCATCCACTAGTGTACTATATAGATATTCATATCTTCAGATTGGTGTAATGCTCTTACCTATCAATATATTGTTACTTTAACCTAATGACCTCACGATTTTGTCCTATAAGTGCAATTTCCTAGGAGGCCACCTTTTTCAGGAGTGTTTTTGTACGAGCACACTTAGTTTTAGAGTTTTTGATGATATTTATATTGTTATACCAAAGAGCGCCTTAATGTTTAACATTTTAGCTTCATTTTGCTTAAGGGGTTTCACAATAATTATTTTATTTTTTCTTCATTTTTTCTCTTATTTTTCTTGAGTTGTATTAGTTGTTGAATTCTTATTTATGAAATGATATAAGTTTTATTTTTTCTGTTATACTAACTAGTATTTATACATAATATTTTCTTATAAAAATAAAAAAAATATATATTTATGTATTCTTTTATGGCATCTTTCATTGTCGGGATGTACCGTCATCTAAATCCAGGGTGCGAGAAAAATGATGAGTAAAGTTTCTTTAACTTTAGGAGACTAGCGTGATGATAAATTATAGGTGCTCAGATAACTTGAGGCATTAAACAAATGATTTATAATTTTCCTTGCAAAGCATTAAAAGACTCCTTTTTTTGATTGAAGGACCAACATTTTCAGCCTATACGAAACTCCACTAGTCTTATTCTCTATTTCAATCATTTTTTGTGATGCATGATTTTTATTTATTTATTTTATTTTTTTTTGCTGGTTGCTTAACATATGATTGTAATAATTTTTACCTTGGCCAGCCTATACGGAACTCACAAAAATTATTTCAACAAATATCAGCCTATACGAAACTCCACTAGTCTTATTCTCTATTTCAATCATTTTTTGTGATGCATGATTTTTATTTATTTATTTTATTTTTTTTTGCTGGTTGCTTAACATATGATTGTAATAATTTTTACCTTGGCCAGCCTATACGGAACTCACAAAAATTATTTCAACAAATATCAACATAATTTCATTAGACTTGTATACACTAATAAAATTATCGCAATATAATTTTCATATTATTCTACAACTAAAATGTAAATAAAAGTTAAATGCATTATTTAATTATGTATCTCTAACTTGAAACACTTTCAATATAATACTACAAGCATAAGTTTAGAAATACCCCTCTTGATGATGCGCCAATAATTGCCTGAAAAACATGAAGTAATAGTCTTAAATTTGTAAGAAATAAAGTAAATAAATGAAATTGGATTTATTAAAGTGTAAATGATAATGCAAAAGGTAGAAAAGAGACATAAGTAAAAAAATAAATATTATACTATAATAATTTCAGACAAATTTATAAATAAAACTTTTAAATATGTAAATAATTTTATAATGATTATCATACGACATAATTTTTAAATGTAATTGTTGGGTTCCAAGCCCCGAGTGCACAAAGTGGAGGGTTGCATTAAGTAGTTGACAACTCGTGTAAATTTTTTTTCAAAAAACCATGACATTAATCCTTCAAATCATTGTGTAAATGTTAGGGAGTCTCCTATAAATGACACACTATATGACTTGAATACAGTGAAAAATATGCTATGGCCGTTACACCGACGCTCGGGTGTATTGTCAAATAAGCAAGGGCTCACACATTATGGACGGATGCAGATAAAGAAATTAGTTCATGAAACTAATATTAGGATATAATATTAGAATATAGATACTTTCACAGGTAAATTAATGGAGTTATTAGATATTATTGTTTATAAGAAGATAAATATTTCATGCGTTTAAGAAACTAAATGGGTTAGAGAGAAAACTAAGGAAATTGGTAGCTTAGATTTTATACTCTGATATTCCGGAAAGAATCACACTAAAAATGATATGGGTGTAATTATAGTTAAGAGTTTGTAAGATAATATTGTAAAAATTAATATAATTGAAGATAGAATTATATTCATAAAGATTGTTGTTGATACTAAAAATTTTTAATGTTATAAATATTTATTCTCTTCGATTATATATAGATATATGCTCAAAAGAAAAATTTTGGAATGACCTAGAAGAATTAATACAAATGATACCTCTTTATAAATAAATTTTTATTGGAGGTGATCTAAATGGACATATTGGTGGTGGTGGAAGATATTAGAAATATTCATGATGATTTTTTTATAGTGATTAATGAAAAATGTAGAACAATATTATATTTTGTTTCAGCGTGCTAATACTTTATTTATGAAAAAAGATAAACATATTATTACTTATAAGAATGAATCTAATAAAGTATAAAATGTTTATTTTCTTATATGAAAAAGAGATTGTCGAGAATGTAAGACCATTTGAAGTGAAAATTTAAGTATTCAACATTGATTTTTAGTTCTAAATTTTAAAATTAGGTGTTGTAAGATAAAGAATACAATGAAACATTATTATAAAATTAGATATGGGCACCTAAAATACACAAATAATATTATTTTTATGAGTAAACTTTAAGATTTCATGTTTTAAGATTTTTATGAAGAAATTAATTCTAAGTGGGATAAAGTAACAAATAATATTAAACAAGTGACAAAAGTTGTACTTGGAGAATCAAAAGGAAAAAAAATTATAAATAAAAAATAGGTGGTGGTAAAATAATAATGTGTAAGAAAATATAATATATAAAAAGTTATGCTATAAAAATTTGTTTAAATATAAAACTTTAGAAAATTGAAAAAAATATAAGGTGGCCCTTAGGGAGTCTAAGAGAATAATTTGTGACACTAAAAATTGTGTTTTTAATGATTTATATAATAAATTAGATACTAAAGAATGCAAAAAATATATTATAAAGTAGCTAAACAAATAAAAAAATAAAGATTTAATTCATGTAAAGTGTATTAAAGACGAAATCAAAAGTGCTTTTCTTAGAGGAAGATTTTCAACATCAGTGGGTGAGATAATTTGATAAACTTTTTAATGAAGTTTCGAAAATATGAACATCCTTAGTAGAACGTTTTATTTTCACCGTCGCATTAGTAAAAAGGAAGTTGGGGAGACTTTAAAGCAAACAAAGGGTGAAAAATTAGTAGGAACTGATGATATCACAATTGGAGTGTGAAAATATTTACGAGATTTAGGATTTTATTTGCTTACTAAACTGTTTAATATTATTTTAAAAACTATAAAGATGTCTAAGGAGTGGAGGAAGAGTATTTTGATCCGACTTTTAAGAATAAAATGGATAAAGAAGAGTATGCAAATTAAAAAGGAATTAAGAGAATGTGTTATACTTTAAAATTATGAGGGAGGGTAATTGAACATGGGCTAAGACGTGATACAAAAATTTCTCATAATTAATTTGAGTTTATGATTAGAATTTATTTCGGACATGTCTACTATGGAAACTATACATTTATTAAGAGGTTTGATAGAAAAGTATAGAGAGAGTAAGGAGGATCTACATATGACTTCTATTGATTTAGAAAAAACTTACGATCAGGTTCCAAGAGAAGTTCTTTGGAGAGTTCCAGAGAAGGAAAGTGTTGTTATGACTTATATTGAAGTCATTAAAGATATGCATACTAGAGTTATTACATGTATTTAAACAGAAGGAGGATTGACCAAGTATTTTCCTATTTCAGTTGGATTACATCAGGGATCAGCTTTAAACTTATATTTTTTTGCTTTAGTTATGGATTTTTTTACTGGACATTTACAAGAAGATGTACATTGGTGTATGCTTTTCAATGATTATATCCTTCTTGTGGAGAAGTGTAGAGAAAGAGTTTGGGAAAAACTTGAATTATGGAGGTGTACATTGGAGTCTTACATTGGAGTCTAAAGACCTTCTTGGAGTCTAAAGACCTTCATTTGAGCAGATCTAAATCTGAATACTTGAAATGTACTTTTAGTAGTAGTAGTTTTAGTGGTAGAGTTGTAATTATGAGGGATCAAATCATTAAAAATTCTGAACATTTTAGATATTTCAGGTCTATGGTTCAAAGTGATGGTGAAATAGATAGGGATGCTATTAGTAGAATTCAATTTGGTTGGTTGAAGCGGAGGAATGCATCAGGTCTATTGTGTGATAGAAAAGTACTGCTTAGACTTAAAGGAAAAGTTTATAAGATGATGGTGAGATCTACATTGCTTTATGGAGTAGAATGTTGGCTTTTAAAAGAAAAACATAAAAATAAAGTAAAGTGTTACTAAGATGAAATGAATCTATCTGTGAAAGAGTTGGTGTAGCTCCAGTGACAGACAAGATTAGGGAGAGTCGTCTTAGATGTTTTGGTCACTTTAAAAGTCCACCATCTGATGATTCGGCTAGGAGAGTGGATGTTTTCGATTCGACTTATGTTAAGAAAGACAAAAGTAGACCTAAAAAGACTTGGGCATATTATATAAAAAAATGATTTTAATCAATTAAATTAAATGAAAATATGACAGACAATAGGACAAAATGGAGAAAAAAGATTCATGTAGCCGACCCCACTTAGTGGGATGAATGTTTGTTGTTGTTGTTGTATAGTTCTTAAAAAATAATATATATCAATCAATGATCACTATATCCCAATGCAAAAATATCACTTTGCATGTATGCTATATTTTACTTGTACGTATGTGTACATGTACACACACACACATAGATCTAGATATATTTGTATATATGTATATACACACATACACACATGCGCACACACACACACACTAAGATGCCAAAAATCACAGAAGATAGGTACTAATCCTAAAAAATCTAATGATTTCTTATAGAGCCTTCACTTAGTGGATCCGCCGTCAGATTAACCAAAATCAAAAGGAGTTAGTGCTTACAATACATGCATCATACATACAAGCATGAATCATATGAATTTTTTATTAAAATAAATTTTTTAATTGCAGTGATTGGTGCATTTTCTA